ATACTTTTAGGTTATGTATATATATAACCTAAAAGTATAGAGTATTATGTAAAGTATAGAGTATATATATATATATATATATATATATACAATTTAACTTCCTTATTCTAACAATTACGCACAATTGATCAATTTCACATTATTGTAGTGCATTGTTGCTTTCTCCTCTTGCCAAAATTTATAAACTGAATTTTAAAATTTAGACTATTAACATTTGAAATGAAATCAGAAAACGTAAGCGTAATTTTAGTTTTTTTTCCAGCACCTTGCATATTGTTGGAGAACAGTTTTATCCGAAATTCTAACGAAAAAAATGTGAAATTTTAATGTCACTTCGAATATATATGTATATTTTATTACTATCTTTTTATATAACTACAAATTATTTATGGTAATAATTAGAAAAAATTTTTAATAATATATAATAATTACAATACGAATATCTTTAAAAAGGATGAAGAAGGAAACACAAATGCACCGAATGTGGACAAAGTTTTAAGAGAAAACACCACTTAAAATATCATATGAGAACTCATACTGGTGAAAAGCCGTTTGTTTTCGATGTTTGCGGCAAAAAATTTTCGCAGCATGGAAATTTAATAAGTCACAAAAAAGTACACTCAGACGAACGAAAATTCAAATGAAGCTATCAGAAATGCACATATGGTAGTAAATATAAAAGGAATTCCCTAAGACACGTTCATCGAAAACATTTACAAGCAACTTCTTCTCAAGTAATTTTTTACTTTTTTAATTTTAAAGTCGATAAAGTTTACTTTTAAAAGTATAAACCATAATTACATGATAGGATAAACAAGCCACTTAATTAATTATGTATTTAATAATAAACAAATATGCTGTAATTTATAATTTATGAGAAAAATATATAATATATCTATTATACTTATAAAACATTAAAATACTTCGCTCGTTATCACTGTCATATTTTGAAATAAAATTCAAAATTTACAATCGATTAAATCAAGTACTAAAATTTACACTTTTAAATACTCTGATAAGCCACTACTGTAAACATACGAAGGAAAATAATTACATATCAACATATTAACATTAATATAAATATATTTAAAAAAAGAGAGATAGAAAATAACATAAATTTCTGAGAATAGTCCTTTAAAATATTAATGTGTTCAACCGTACTTTTACTAAATTCTTTTTTAAACAAAATAGAAGTGGAGTATTTTATTTTGCGTTTTATATTGGCGTTCATCTAACTATATTTAAAGCTACAGAATATAATTGATTTCTTAATTCTGAGTAGACATAAAGAATTTTTGTCCGTTATTATATAAGTTATTTTAACAAGAGTTAAATAACGAAAATTTCTGATAAATTTCAAAGTTACTGCGATTCAATAACTCATACTTATTAATTACCAAGTATGTTTTCTTTCTATAAACATTCAAAATTTATAGAAAATGAGATTTCTTTGAAAATGTTAAGTTTTAACTGCTTTTTTAGAATAATTTAGTTTCAATTGTACTTTTAATGTATGAAAAGTAATTTTGTTGTAAAACTTATGTTAAATAGATTTCGTCAAAACAAACGGAAGTAAGTAAATATTCATGTGATTTCTGCAATAAAAGTTTTCTCGATCGATCGAATTTGGAACGGCACAAAAGATCTCATACAAATGAACGACCATTTTCGTGCACTATTTGTAAGAAAAGATTCAAACAAAAAGAGCATTTAACAAATCACGTCATAAAGATTCATCCAGAGAATGAAATTGAATCATTCTGCAGGGTATGTCAAAAAGTTTTTTTGAAATATAATCTATTAATTCTATCAATAATTAATCGAATACTGTAATAAAAGAAAAATAATCCGAAAAAACAGCTCTCTTTTTTCTAATGACTTAGAAATGCTGGATTAAACTTATTGTCGTTGTTATGTCACATTACATTAAATTTAATTAAGCACCCAGATTAAATATATTTAGAATTATACTCATAATACATTATTATATCATTACGAAACTCGCAAATTCCCTGTTTCCTTTTAAATGCTTAAAGAGTCTTGTTACTTGTAAAAATCGAATAATTCGTTAATTATAATACAGTTTCTTTCAATAAAGGCCACACGATATTTTCATAAAATCTATCACTTCATATGATGCAAAAAGTTGTCAAGTTTAAGGGACCAAGTACAAATTTATTCTAAAGAAAATCCTCAACTTCATTCCAGATTAAAATATTTTGGTAAATATATAAAATGAATTTATATTAATACATTAAAAATGATTATCGTGTTAAACTATAGTCTATCAAAAATAAAATCAGAGTACTTTACTGTGTAAAAGTACTCACTTCCATTAATTAGAATAGTAAACTAAAAAAATAAGTTATAAATTCCATTTTATAAATTTAGCCTCAGAAAATGAATTTTTGAATGATGCAGTTGACCTTAATTATGATTTGAATATATAATGATAATGATTTTAGTTTAATTAAGTGAATTATATTATATTATATACAGTTTTGAATTCTTAGGCAACCGTTGAATATATTCAAGATGTAGAATATGACATAGTAGACAAAGAGCAGAAAGAATCAATGGAAAAACCATCAACGAGTGGTCAAAAATCTCAATCAGTAGAATATGAAGCTGTTGTGGAAACCCTTAGTAGCGATTCAGAAAATGCTGGAATTATGAATATAGACGAATATTTAAACATGAACGAACTGGAACGTTTACCAGAATTGGAAATATTTTCAGAAGTGATAGTTGAAGGAGTCGAACTAGAATGTCACATCTGTGAAGAAAAATTTGACGACGAAACATCTCGTAGAGAACACGAAGCAAAATTTCATTAATTTACAAAGCATGCAATTCGGTAACGATGTTAATAAACGAATTAAATCTTGCATTTATTTTTTATTTATTACAAAAATATTTTTGATGTTTTGCATGCAGATAATCAGATTAGTAATTACATTTTGTATATATTTTTATATTTAAAATTGAAATTTAAAGAAAATATGGATAAATTTGTGTTCAATTCATTCATTTATTCAAGTCAGAAATTTATTAGAAATACATTTATTGTTTGAATATAAAAGTGAAATTAAAATTTCGATAAAACATATTTTTCTTTATTATATTTTCCATTCATAGATTTATGTTCTTCAAATTATATTTACATTCGACCGAATTAACGTATATTGTTTCTGTCTTTGTACGTTTTATTATATTTAAAACTAGCTGTTACCCGCGACTTCGCCCGCGGAGGTTTTGCAAGCAAACCCCATTAATATTCAGTATTTCAACAGCCATAGTAATTGTTATATAACCTACCGCCGAGAATGATGAGAATTGTTGAGATTCAAACAAACTACCGTATTTTCAATTTGATCAATTTTCTGAAACGTTTACAATCGTTCTATAATCGAACCAATGTGCAATAACAAATTCGAATTTAAAAAGTTCGAACATTTGATTAAAAAATCGAAATATATAAAAATATTTTTAACAATGTCTGAAATGTATTTAATTTAATACACTTAAGTACTTAATAAAGACTAAATGTAACAAAAAATCGCATGTAAAATAGTACAGTAAAAGCCATTCATCCGGTTAAGCCTTAATGCTCTCCGTCTCCCTCCGCTGGGGAATTTCGAAAAATCCCTTCTAAGTGTGCATTCCCTTGGCATACCCTACTAAAACGCAGATAAAAACAAAAAATCGCATCTAAAATAGTACAGTAAAAGCCNCTTTTTTTTTTTTTTTTTTTGTTAGCAGGGCTGTGGAGTCGCGTAAAAATCGATCGACTCCGACTCCGCCTCCGACCAGGGGAGGACTTGTTACTGAAAGAGACCCAGAAATTCTAATGTCATCACCTGACCTCAGAATAAAAGATTCAATAAATAGAGTTCTAATAAAGATAGAACGTAGAAACTTTTTATTCGAAAGCTATAAGACTCCTCTAAGTAATATATAAATATGTATTCGATAACTTTTACTTCTCCGGCTGTTATATATAACAGAGAGAAAGTGTAGCGCTCGGTCAAAAAATGACCCCTTCCCAAATTTTTACACTTTTGGACTGGGACACCTCGAAATTTCGAGATATGCAAAAGATTCGAGGTTTATTTCTATATGTGTGGATATTAGACTTTGTGTGTGGGGCATGATTTTGTTCACCCTGTTTGAAACCTAATAATTTGTGGTCAAATTGGTCAGAATCGGAGTCAGATCGTTTAACACAAGAGTTAGTTATTAAGCGTCAAAGTGGTTGAACTAAATCGTGTCCCATATACATTCTA